CTTCTGTCAACTACTGTTACATGTGTTTACTTAAGGAAAAGGAGACAGACCAAACCACAAGGTACCTTAATTTTTTGTACATACTCATGAAAGGAAATCCCAATATTAAAGTGTATACTTCATCAGCAGTAGCCTTTACTCAGTCCCCATTTCATCTGTTTGACTGCAGATAGCAGGGGATATATTCAGAAAAACTCAGGGATTAACTTGTATGACAGCGAGAGATATGTCAGAGACTTGATTGAATCTGGTAGGTTCAAAGAAGATGATGCACAGGCCATAGATATTCCATTTTTCCATTTGGCAAGTATACTTGGGGCCACTAACAATTTTGCAAATGCAAACAAGCTTGGACAAGGAGGGTTTGGTCCTGTGTATAAGGTAATCAAGAATTTCTTGACACTCATGATTTTCTTCTTCAATTTCATGGTGATAGTGGTAGGAGTAGATCATTTTTTTGTTTACTGTCAGGGAAACTTTCCTGGAGGACAAGAAATAGCAGTGAAGAGACTCTCAAGTTGCTCTGGACAAGGTTCAGAAGAATTTAAAAATGAAGTTGTGTTGATTGCAAAGCTTCAACATAGAAACTTAGTGAGACTTCTGGGGTACTGTGTGGAAGGAGATGAAAAGATGCTAGTATATGAATATATGCCAAATAGAAGCTTGGATGCTTTCATTTTTGGTATGACTCTTTCTGCATTTGAAATATTCTGTTGGCGAAGCCTTTTCTTGTAGCCTCAAAATTATATTTTGAAGTAGACTAATGTAATGTGTAATGCCCCTATTGGACTACAAGACCGGAAGCTGTGTGTTCTATTAGACTGGGATGTGCGCTTCAAGATTATTTTGGGGATTGCTCGAGGGCTCCTTTATTTGCATGAAGATTCCAGGTTGAGGATTATTCACAGGGACTTGAAAACAAGTAACATTCTACTAGACGAAGAGAAGAATCCTAAAATCTCAGACTTTGGCTTAGCCAGGATATTTGGAGGAAAAGAGGCAGTAGCTAACACAGATAGAGTGGTTGGAACTTAGTAAGTTTCATGTCAAAGCATGATTCAGTGGTTTTAAGCATTACAGCAATATTACTTGTATTTGATCACATTATTAAAGAATAGGGACTAAAGTAATTTTGGTAAATCACATTTTACCCTTGTTATATTCTCACTCCACAAAATAATACCCAGCTGGATGTCTTATTTGCTCTACATTTTACAAATTTTGTAATGCAGTGGATATATGTCTCCAGAGTATGCACTTGATGGACACTTTTCAGTCAAGTCTGATGTCTTTAGCTTTGGTGTGGTGGTACTTGAGATTATTAGTGGAAAAAGGAACACAGGATTTTATCAAGCAGAACATGAATTGAGTCTTCTAGGATATGTAAGTACAGTGAGTGTTTAGGATATGCAACAAACACTTCATATTACATTACATGGCTCCAAACACATTTCACTCTTTGATTCATTTTCAGGCATGGCTTTTGTGGAAAGAAGGTAGACAACTGGAATTCATGGACCAAACACTAAGTCAAACATGCAATGCAGATGAATGCTTAAAATGTGTGAATGTGGGGCTCTTGTGCTTGCAAGAAGATCCAAATGAACGTCCCACAATGTCAAATGTGGTTTTCATGCTTGGTAGTGAATCAAACACTCTTCCAAGTCCTAAGGAACCAGCCTTTGTTATCAGGAGGTGCCCTTCAAGTAGAGCATCTACTTCAAGTAAACTTGAAACCTTTTCACGTAACGAATTGACAGTCACTATAGAACACGGCAGGTAGAAAATTCTGATTTGCAAGATTTCCCAGTATTTGGTCTCGGTTTTATCCTTGGTCAAAATATGTAGAACATGTAGTTTCTCTATTCTTGCTTGCCACTTTCGCATTATCCATTCCTCATCTAAGTGGGGGTAACTTGAAATGGTCAATTAGGGAACTTCTCATGAATTTCATGTTTGGATAGTCAAAATGACAAATGCCTGCGTGGAATTGAAAAAAAAGGCCTAACAAATTTGTTTCTTGAATAATTTATTCATTTATTTTGCATTCATTGCTTACAACTAAAAAGAAAGTTCCAAGACAGTCTGATTTGTGGATCTCAACAATTTTTTCTTCAAATTCCTGATCACAGTCATGCCATGCCATAATGATAATGAATGAAGAATACAACTAAACTATAGTAAAAGATGAACAATTTTTTGTCATCTATATTGTATATAAAAGTAGTCTTATTTTTTTGTTATTTGGACTTAGAGTTGACATGTGACAAAGCCATTAGTTAAGAACAATGGTTCTGTTTATTCATCAGTATTTACCCAGAAATAAATTTTATTCTTTGAGAAAATACTTCTTAAAGAACTCATTCTACTAAAGATAACCACTTTATATGAATTAAAAATTATAATTTGTAAATAGTCACTTTCTATTAATGCATTCTTCTCATTCTTGATATTCAAATATTTATAAATTATATTTAATAGTTTAATCTTTAAATATTAGTTGTTTTTATCGAATTGTTTTTTGAGAATTAAGTTATTTTATTTAAAAATATATTTAAAAACACTTATTTTAAATGGTGTAGCACATTGATGAGTTTTCTCTTTCGGCTACTCTTGGACAATTCTATTATAAGAATACACCACAGATGAAAAAAATGATGTGTTACAAAGGTTAATACAAGTATAATATAAAGTACAATCTAAAACAATAGAAATAGTTTTTCATTTGTATTTACTTATTTCGGAATGATTTCTTTTAAAACGTTTATAAGAAAATGTTTTCTATCTTACTCCTCTTAGTTTCTCTTTCCTTCCCCACTTATTTTCCTAATTGTAATACTATATTAAAATTTAATAAAATATATTAAAATTAAAAAATATTAATTAATTATTTAAAATTATGATAATAATAACTAATTTTATTTAATTTGACAATAAATAATTTTATTTATGATTACATAAATAATTAATTTAAAATTATTTTATTATAATAAATAATTACTTATCTAATTAAAAAATATCAAATATTTATAAATCAAATGTAATTTTTATTTAATAGTTATATCTAATTATAATAATTTGAGTTATGATAATTAATTAGATTAGATAATTTTTAAAAATATTCATTAAAAAAATACTTTAAAATAAATATTTATTTTTATTTAATAATTATAATATTTGTAATATCTCAAATTTATTATATAATATTTTTTAAATATAATATATTAAATTATAATATTTATGGATTATTTAAATATTTTTATTTTTAATAATAATAAAAGACTTATCAAATTTTAATTTATTATTTTTAATTAAAGAATAAAATGAAATGAGGGAAGAATAGAAGAGAAGAAAAGAAAAAAGAGAGAAGTAAATAATAAAAAAAAGTGGAGAAAACATATATATTATGTGAGACAAATTTATTTTTCTTTATTAAATTTTGTGTATTATCATTAAAGTGATTTATTTATATAGATAAACTTAGAAAGATTTATTTGTGTAAAATGATGGACCAAAAATTTCAACCAATTATTTCAAATGGATGAAAATCACATCTAACAATTTCTCAGAAACCAGTGGCTGACCAACGTGGAATGCAGTTACATGTACGGATTTCAGCTACCTAAATAAGATTTTAGTATCTTTATTCAAATTAGTATTTTATTTTTTTAGGAATTTTTATATTTAATATTTAAGAAATATAAATTTAATATGATAGTGATATTATTATTTTTAAATTAATATCTAATTATTCTAATAGAATATTTACAAATATGTTCACATAATTAACATGTTAATATTTTTAATTGAAAAATAAAAGTAATTAATAAATTTATATATTGATTAAATATTAATTATGAAAATCTTTGAAAATTATCGAAAATATCAAATTTAAGATCTGGTTATTTTAGAGGAAAATAACTTATTTAACTTTTTCTTCTTCTCCCTTGTAAAATGCCACCCAAAAAGTAAAAAAAAAAAAAAACTAATCAAAGGTCCACCCAGTAATATAAAACAATGAAAAGTCTCACAGACACGTGAATCTTGAGAGATAGAAAAGAAAATTGACACAATAAATAAATAAAATATTAGTGGATAAGTGATTATATAATACATTTCTGATTGACAATTTTATATAATAATACAATAATAAAATATTATTATTATTAAGAAAATTAATAAGACAAGATTGCAATTAGGATAGTTTTTAATAAAAGAACTAAAATAAAAAAATGAAAAATAAAGTCAAAGATAAAACTTAAAAAAAAAATACTAAAATTGTAATTTTAAAAGCATGAGAAGGGGTTGCATGAGTTTATGTGGTGCAGGTTCAAAAAGAGTAGGTGCGGGGAAACTTAATGGTTGTTTCCAAATTCCAGTTACAGAATCCACCACCGACCCAGTCCCTTTCGAACCAACCAACCAACCAAGAATGACAATTTCCAAATTTTTTAGATGAAACATGACAATTTCTCATTCCTCACATAAAGCTGTGACCATGGGCTCTGTATTTTGACCCAACTTTCTTGGTTTAGCCCTCCCTTCGTGTTTTGACTACAATATCAGAATCTCAATGTGAACTAAACTACAACTCTACATCTTCTTCACATTAATTCCAGCCTATTGAATTTCAAAACCATTATTATTACTTTTTATCTCAAATTAAACATATTAGAAATTAAACATATAACTAATGTAAGATTTACAAATACTAAGTTAGCGAAGGATAAGGTAAGAAAAGTGAAATGACGGAAACACCCAAAATTAAGGTTCTAGGAAACAGGGAAGCAAGTGCGGTTCCTTGAGCAGAATCAAAGCCGATGAGCGAATAATTCTCTGTTCCTAGGCTGTCATCCAAGCAGGGATCATTGCTTTCATCTTTTCCTCTCCTTTCTTCGATCCATCTTCAATATTTATTTCTCTCTAAACACACATATAAATAACCAAACCCACATCACATTCTTCCAACAATTCAACTAATTACTCTCCTCTTGTTTACAATGGCTGGAATTGGCTTTGAGGACTTGCTTCCTATCATGGCCACCAAGCTTGGTGGGGAGGGGCTGATAAAGGAGCTCTGCAACGGATTTGAACTGCTGGTGGACAAAGAGAAAGGGGTGATAACTTTGGACAGTTTGAGGGAGAAAGCTTCAGTTTTGGGACTGCAGGACTTGAAGGAGGATGAGCTTGTGAGCATGATGAGGGAAGGGGATCTTGATGGAGATGGGGCACTCACCCAGATGGAGTTTTGTGTTTTGATGTTCAGGTTGAGCCCTGAGTTGATGGAGGAGTCCTGGTTTTGGCTCGAAGAGGCTCTCCAACATGAGCAACTCAACCACAACACCAACACCAACACCAACACCAACCATCATAACTCTTCTGTTTAGTACTTACATAGTTGCCCAGGAGCAACAATTGATCACAGGGGCTTCCCCTCACCTTCTTGTTTGTTAATTCTGACTTTTAGTTGTTTCATATACCATTCCTCTTGTGGAGAGCTAATATTGAAAATAATACACGATTTTTGGATATCTTGCTTTCTTTCTATCTTTTACCTTATGCACGCTGGAAATTCGATTTACAACAATGGGTAGTTGTGGTTTTTGATGATTCGTTGTGCCATTAATAAACTCTTTTCTAAATATGAAGAGGGTCCAATGATTTTGCAATCGAACTGTTTGTGTCAATTTGTCATTGTGAATTAGCCTATTGGGTGATAAAACTAGAAAATCGAGGTGAATCAGAATCACCAACTAGTAAATCACAGAATTTTTTTATTGTTTTAAAACTAAATCTAGCTAGACCAAATCGTCTATGATCAATAACTAATAATATGTTCAAAGTGTTAATTATGGTTTACAGAGGTTCAAAGTGTTCTTTTTATTGTGTGTGACTAAATTATCTTTAACCACACGCTCCTATATCAGAGTTAATTGAACATTCTTATTTTTCATTCGACTTCATCTTTTCCATCATCCTTCTTCTGTTTCATGTCTTGCAAAATTTCTTTACCTCAGTTTTAACTTTTTTTTTTTCTTTTTTTACCTTTAAGCACGCATTTTCTTAAGCATGGCCAAATATTAAACGTGAACAGATATCTTAATAGGAATTTGACTTTGGAATCACCAGATTTTCTGAAATTAACTGTCCTTCTGTAATGTGTTAACTTAATGACAGTAGTTGAAAAATATCAATTTACTTGTGTACACAAGACTTATCTTGATTTTGCGTTGTATGATACAGTACTCCCATGAAAGAACTAAATTATACTCTAATTCATGAAACTATGATTTCAATCAATTTAATGATGCATGGAACTTTCGTGGAAACCTGTCTCTAATTCATTAGTTGCACAACTTGCAGATAGCCGTTGGAACATGTCAATTTGAATACAATTCTGATTCTTTAACTTGAACTTTAGAACCCCATCCTTATCCAAGTCCTACCTATTTTTATTTTGTTTTGTGTCTTGCGCCAACCAGATCTGCTACAAATATTAAACATTCAAAGTGGTCGGCAATATTGGAACAATTTCAAGCAAGAAAAGTGTTTGGTTGTTCTTGTTGTTCTAATGTAATCTCCAACAATGAATTTAACAACACAATTATGATTAGGAAATCTCACAGCTGAGGTTGGTTCTCTTACGCAAGAAGAACTTTTCCTACATTATTGCCTATATTTTTTTTGGGGTGTTTCTGTGTTTGTTGATAAGCTTGATTTCCTTAAAATTCTGGTACAAATTCAGTTCATTTGCCCCATTTTTTTTATTGCATCTTGAAGCTCCTTTTTTGAACAATTAATACAAGCAAAACTCATAAGATTGCTAAGGAAGATATGAAGAAACTCCAAAATGCAGAAACTTTTGTTAGAGACACTTGATATTATATTATGCTGAATTATCTTTATGTGAGTACTTCACGGAATCATTCTTCCACTCATGTTCAAGGTCTTCAGGTTGCCTTGCCTAACGATGCATTAACTTGCTAAATACGTAAGCTGCACCTTTTTTAAACATTTTTTTTATTAATTGTTAACACTCAAAATTTTCTTTATTTATTTTTTTAAACTTCATCAACTTTCTGGATTAATTACTTCTTCTATTTCCCTAAATTCAAAATTCAAGCTGAGGTGTACGTATATTTTCATATCCACTTGAACAAGTTTCGGAGTCTCTCGTGGGAGGAACATATAAATACCATGGTTAATAAAAAAAATTTGAAAAAACATGATGGAGTGAAATTTAAATAAGAAAAAAATTGAATAATTAAAATAAGGAGAAAGAGAAGAAGATTTCGTTTTTTTTTTTAATTTTTTTCACCTTTTAATAGATTATTTTAACTTTGATTAAATAAAAATAATTTAACTATTTAATAAAACTTCTCTACTAAAAGTAATTATATAACTTCTTGAGTGCTAACTTCTGACAATCAAATTCACTTCATAACTTTAACAAGACACAATTTGATTAGACTATTTTAATAATATAAACTGATATTTATTTTTATATGATCAAAATACACTACAAAATACTATTTCTATACAATAAACAAAATAACATAAAATGTATATATAATTAAAATTACTAATATAAATATTAGATTTTGACTTATGAAGCGATAAAAAATGTGAATACACGTATGTTAGTGTATCTGTTTTCTATGATTTGTTTTAGTAACCACTTTTTGGTGAATCCATTTTTTTCCCTTGCTACCTTTCATATTATATAATTGTTTTTTTTTATGAATTTAATTTATCTTTTATATCATGGTAATAGTTTTTTAACTATCTATCTATCTATCTATCTATCTATCTATCTATCTATCTATCTATCTATCTATCTATCTATATATATATATATATATAACTATATTTTTTAATATTTAAATTTTTTTATTAATTTTTTAAATTGTATTATTAATTTTTTTCTTACAATTATATACTTTGATTATTTTTTAAAATTATAATTTTATTCTTAATATTTTACTTAATTTTTATAGCCTTTTTTTTTTAATATTGACACACATATTTCAATTTGAAAAATTTTCGAATTACTGATCTTGAATTTCTCAAGATCCATTAATCTGAAATACTCTGGAATACTTTCTGGATTATCAATATCATCAAATTTTCAAAGACATTGCTTTTTCTAATTAATATAAATACGAGAGTGGTGGACAAAAAGTGCCAATGGTTTATGTTTGATGTGTATTGGGCCTAACGGCCCATCACATATAAACTTTCAACCCACCATATGTGATGCTGGAGCGGGAATAGCAGTGTGGGACAAAAAGGGCGGCACTTAAACAGAACACAATGATGTCTCTCTATCTACCTTACCTTCATGGCGGATCAAATATCCAGAAGACAGAAAAACAGTTTTCTTTTAGGTCAGTATGCATTGGGGTGGGGGCACATGCTCTGCTACCCTCATATCAATAGATCACAGTAATCATACTTTCCACTTTTTGTTAAACTTCTTCATAATGTTATCCTCCATTAACTAGATTTGCTTCTCACTTTTGTTGCCTTTTTCTTCCTCAAATTGACTCCTCAGCAAAAATATGTCAACACACTCATCAATATTAAAGATCTGCTACTCCACTGCACATATTTTAGTACTGTTTGTAATGGAGAATTTGGACATTTACAAGCCATGTTGCATTTGAATTAGATAACACATATCGTTTATGGTGAGTGCTTTTGATCTTGTTTCTTGGAGGTTTAGCAATGGAAAAGGAGGAGAGCCCCTCCAAAAACGCTTGTGTTGATTCGCTACGATGTCTCTCCTCCACTTATTCATCTTTCCTGTGGAATATTATATGACAGTTCAAAGTACTTTTGGCACTAGCTAGTCTTGGTCAAGAACAAAGGTCCCATGTGTTAGTCCAGCTTGTAACATCAAAGTATGGGCACTAAAAAGTTCATTTCATAGCTTGGAAAGATTTAATGAACAAAATGAATCAAATTATGAAAGCTGCGTTAGGTTTATTTTCTTTGATAATGGATTGGTAAGCTCAAAGTCATACTATGCTTCCTATTTGTTGATCCTTCGTGCATTTTGCTTGTTCAATATATTATTTAGCAAGCATCACAACAGATTCATTCCGACACACATCATTTTGGGAAATCTCTACTTTTGAGGCCATTTACTAGTGCAGCACTGTGGGGGAACACAAAATTGAAAGAGCCAATAGCCGAGTCTGATTAATTTGCTGGGAAAGAAAAGAAATAAAAATAGTTACCCATTCAATCTTTTCTTGTGTAAACGAGGTGATTGATACACTAGCTGTTGTTGCCAATTTGACATTGGTGAAATCTGTGATACTTATATACGTATATCTATGCATAGTTTCAGATGTGTTGATATATAACCACAGTAATGTGGTATAATCAGCAATTCAGCATATTGATCTTAATGCTCCTTTCTTCTTAACCATATATATATTCTAATCCCAATCGTCGTAGTTTGTCATAGCCATATTGAAAGCACCTTAAGCTAAGCTTTCTAATGTAAGTCTATGTCATTATTTTCACACAATGATTTTTACATAAGGAAGAGATGGAAAATGAGTTTGAGATAAAACCAATGATGTGATAGATAGAAGAAAGAAAGAAAGAAAAAAAAATAATGTTTGAGAAAATATTCATAAAGATCATTAAGAAAAATATAAATAAATTTTAACTAAGTACTACATGTTAGTAGCACTCTTCACGTCTGATCATTATTCTTCTTTCTGTTCATTTACGTGAGTGTACGTCTATATTCAATGTTCTTCCGTCTCTGAAATTACACATCCTCTCCATTTTTGGTACATTGTGGAAATTATTTGATCATGCAGAGAAATTGTGTCTTTCTACAGTTAGCTAGCCTGAGTAACTTATTAGTGCCGAAGAAAAGAAAATGATGCAGTTAAATAGTAAAACATTGATAATAATAGTTACCCTTATAATGAAGACTGTCCTGGTTAATGATGCACCTAAGAACCTTATTAATTGTACCAAAATGATTATAAATGAAAGGATGACAATGTTGAATCACTCCATAATATTTAAAAATATCTTCGTTACCCCTTCATTAGGTACAAAGTTGATTCTACCTGCAATGTTGTCGAACACTGTCTCTAGATGTATCCACTCATGTGACTGTAACACTTTTGATAACCCTTGAGCGAGCACTACTACTGCGACTACACCGACAGGAGGAACCGATGTTGCTGTTCTGAACACGTTTAAAATCTGTGCTATTGTTCATCAATTTCCTTTCAACAGTCTATCATTTAGATCATCATATCTTGTGTGATACCAATTCATTTTGAGATATAATATATTGAATCCCAACGAACAACAACTACAAAAAGTTAATATTGTATTAATATATTTGGTTGTGTAAGTTGTATATTACAAAAGTGGTTATCAAAATAATCTTTTCCTTAATTTTTATCTATACTGCATGATAAAGAAGTAAGATCATAATTAGATTAAGCAATGTGAGTTTAGAATGTTGTGTAGCCAAAAATGGGAAATTTCATCGATTATAAACTGGGCTTGTCGGGGAAGTGTTCCGAATATCGAATCTTGATTTAATCATAGATAAAGCTTATGGATCGTGATGGCTCATGTTTACGAGAAGAGATAAGAAGTTGATTAATTTATAAGTAAAAAAATTTATAATTTTTTTTTTAGAATAATGTCATATTTTTTTTATGTAATTATAATTCTTATTTTATCTAATAATTTTTTTATTGTTAACTGTTCTTGAAGATATCTAACATAAAAAAAAGTAGAGAAAAATAAAAGAATGATTTTTTTAAACATGTGTTTATAAGAACATGATGTTTGTCTACTCTTTTATCAATATATACGGTGAAAACAGTGTTATCATTGTTACATTTATGAAGAACCAAGAAAGAAATATATACAGTTAATAAAATTTTAATATCCTACCACCATTTTTTATTTTAAAAGTGTTAACTTCTAAACCAACCCGCGTTTTACAAAATTGAAAGGCTTCTTTACTGACTTAGCAAATATTGCAGTATGCACACTCCTATAATTAACAACCATTAATGGCTTAATGCATGAATTAGCAAATCTTGAATGAGATCACTGAACAAAAGTTGCCACTCGCCACTGCACACATCGCCATTCCCATAACCATTTGTTTGGGAATATAAATTCAGGGGCTAAATATAAATTTATATAGGAAACTTTGAAAATTTTATTGATCATTTATAAAAGATTTCCTTTTAATGACTATCATATATCGATCATTTATACAAGACTTTGACTATATCATATGAATATAGGAAGAATGGCATTTCCCTTTTTCTAAATTTTTAATATTTGAAAATTATTCATTAAAATTTCTCATGAATGATCAAAGCAAAACTGTTGACATTTTTCTGAGTCACTCTCAAATTGCCTTAATTGAGTGGACAAAACGACAAGAAATATACCTCATCTTAGTTTAGAGGTAGATTGTCAACGTCAGTGAATAAAATGATGCATTGCCAGCTTGGTATATTTGTCAAAATAAAAAAAGATTAGAAAAATTAATAAAGCAACAACTTATTAGTTTTAACATACTAAAGTTATTTTTATTTTATACACAAATATACACGCCACACATGCACGCACACATCGGTGGATCTTCTTAGGAGTTGAGGTGGCCGTGACTCCAAAGTTTTGTAACTCCCGTATAATTTATGATTTTGACCCTCTCAAACTTAATGAACATTTAATATATTTACTTATATATTTACAATTTTATCCTCCAACTCTTCCTCAATTTTGTAACTCTTCGTATAATTTATGATTTTATCCCCTCAAACTTAATGATCATTTAATATATTTAAATGTATATTTACAATTTTATCATTTCACCCTTTCATCTTCTTACTTCATTTTATATTTATTTATTATTTATTAATAATATATTATTTGACCCTTCCAAAATCAATGGTTAAGATCTGCCACTATACGCACACATATATTTTATTTGGCACTGTCCTTAATATTATCAAATTAGAGGTAATTTAGGTAGGTCAATTTTATTTTTCAACCATCGAAAGAATGCCTTAAAGTTAATGTTAGGTTTATAGGACCGAGTTTAACTAAAAACAGTTATATCATAGAGGAGAATACAATGTTTTTTTTCTAATTCAAAATCTTAAAAGTAATTTTTTTTTCTATTTATATCTTATTTAATTCTAATATTTTTATTTAATGGAAGACTTTAATTATATTAAAACTTTAAAATTATTTTTATGTTTATTTTTTATATATAAAAATATTATTTTTTTAACATTGAATTTCAACTCATACTTAAATTTTAAATATTAATTAAATATAAAAGTTGGTGATTCAAGTTATCTAATTCATTTATTGTTTTCATCTAAATATCCAGCGTCTAGCAGAAATCCATAACTTAATATTTATTGAGGGAATGATTTATTTATTTATTTATAATTGACTTATATTTTATTTTTATTATTAGTCGCTCTTAAAATATCCGATAATACTTTACTAATTTTTGGAATAATATATTTGATTTAGAAGAAGCATATTTGTGATTGATGGGGCAGGGGAAACAATAAAAAGATCTGGGAATAAAATTGTTGCATTGATGAAGTAAAAGTGGGAAGGAAGCGTGATATTCTAATTCCAAACAGTAGCATTTTTGGTGCTTAAAGGAAGTAGTAATTGTGGGAGTTGAGTTGAGTGTTGGAAAAGTGGGAAAAGAATGTTACAGGTGAGAAACACGTGGAATTTGAAAGTGACTATAACACGCGCGAAGGAGACACCAAGAGCTATCCCCGCGTAGGACCACTCCAAGTCAACACCTCCTTGTTTCGCTGTCCCCCCCTTCCCGGCGGCTAAGCTTGGTCGTATCCCCTCTTCTACCGTTTTAAATATTTCATTTTTTTTTTTTATTCTTCTTTTTTTAACTCACCAATTCGTTTATTAAAAATATTCTAATATATATTATATTTACCACTTTTATTATGGATGAAGCTTTCCCGATATGTATAATTAAAGTGTAGTTTAGGTAAGAAAAAACCTTGGAATGAGATAGCTGGACCACATACAAATAGCTGTCTCCTCATTCTTTCCTCATGAATAATTATTACATTATTCACGCAACAACTTTTTATGATAATAATATCTTTTGTTTAAATCAATGACATTCAAGTAAGAACTAGATCCACCAATGTTTCTTCTTCCACAGTCCACTACCTCATTCATCTCATCACATTCTCCCACATCTCCGAAGATGTAAGTTTTAAAAGACGTGCAAGCAATACAAAATCCACCCTCTCAATTATTACATGCGATTATATTCAACCATTATACGTATTTACTTCACCGTCTCTTCCATTCATAATAACTAAATATAAAATTAAACTTTATATATTTGTTAAAGAGATTTAATATATTGGACTGTATCATGATCGAATTGTTGGTTATGTGGGTGAAAAAATATGATCCTTTTGAGATGGAAAGATTCTTCTAATGTGTGAGATATACAACTTCAGTGTATATATATATAAAAACCAAAAGTTGGAGATAGAGACTAGGAAGTAAACCCTAGTGGAGTGGAAATGGTGTGGCACGTGGACAACCCGTGATGGCTGCTGGAATATAATTGAGCAATGAAGGTACAACTTTGAAGTGGTGGCAGCATGAAAGCCAACCCTTTTATCTATCTTAGATCATTATCAATCGCCGTCTTGATTGGAAAATAAAACTAAGTTACATTCTTTTTTATTTTGTGTGTGCAATTGTCGGATGAATTGGATTGTTAGGCAGTTAGAGTGAAGCTAACGCAATAGAGAAAACCATTTTAATCGTGCAACTGATAAGTCTTCCATGAAAAAGCAGAAGCATGCATGGCACTTCTGTGGTGTATTTTAAAAAAAAGTTATATGCAGAGATGCAAATGCCAAGCACAAGTCTTTTTCCCCGTATATTTTGTTGAAGATAACACGTCTCCAATACTAACTATGATTCATGCTCATCTTCATCAGTTTCCAAGTTATAACTTATACTAATTAAATTATCGATCACTTTACATTGCAGATTGTATTTTGATGAACCTGTTTACTATGTGGTCGTTGAAGTATTCTGATTAATTTAAATTATCCTCAAGAGAAGGAATTAACGTATACATATCCCTAAGGTGTATATGTACCAATTAAAAAAAATCTCGTAAGGTACATAGCGATAGCGATATATTTGTTTGTATTTCTAATAAGCCAGAAATTGAACTTGTAATTTTACAAAGTAACAAGGAAGATAGTTTTTATTCTAGTTCTGGAGAACTTTTTCTCTATTTTAAAGTTGACAAAGATATATATACAGTACTAAAAAGGCAACATTTTATTATTAAAATATAATTTTAAGGCTAAAAACTTAACGTCAGATTATATTTTTTTAAACCAAATTGACCATTAATAATATAACCTCGTTTAATCATTTCTACTAATAATATATGAATGAAAAAGTGTAATTTTTTTTATAATGTTATTCAAATACAAACCATCATTTATTTTACATATTTTTATTTTTAATTCTTTTCTTTTTATTTAATTGTTTTCTTTATATACCTATTTTACTATTTATTTATTACATATTTCTTTCTTTTTCTTCCTTCCAAAACCTAATTCAAAACTATGGTTAGCCTTTCCCCCTACCTACCTAACTTGCTATAGGAAATTTAATGGTATCCCTAAAGTGTTAGGAATATAGTGCCAAGTGATGTGATGATGATATATAGGCCCAGGTAAGATAACAGTTAGTCTAGCTGCACATGAAGATCTATGTATTATATATTTCACTTTTACAAATAATGTACTCGATTAGATAGTTTAGCTTTTGATCAATGTTAAGTAAATAATGGTTACTTTAATTTGATTATTAGTTAACAAAACCATAAACCTAAGAACACTTGCCACGAACCTTCCTAGATATGTCATTTTCATGTATACTGTTTAGTTTTTTATTTTCATTGGTCTCTCAACTACTCTCAAGTGGTTTTCAAGTTTTAACCACATTCCCTTGCTTCCTATAAATATGTCCTTTCACTAGGACTTGTTTTCCAACCCACTCCTCCCAGTTAAGTCCAAATTCCAAAGTCAGCTCTCCACTACGGTGTTGCTTCAATTCCAGTTCCATTTCTCATTCCTATCAACACCTTTTTAGTATACACTTGTTGTTACACTATCACTAACCTCATATATCTTATTATCTATAGCCATGCCTGAGGCTCCTAGCCACTACCTGTGCAACAAGCCAAATGGCAAAGTTGATGATGATGTTGCTTGTAATAATAGCATCATCAAGATCAACAACAAGAAAGCACTGAAATACATTGAGGATGTTACTAGCAACGCTGACGAAATTCAGAAAAGGGTCCTTGCTGAGATCCTTTCTTCTAGTGCACGCGTTGAGTACCTTCAACGCCATGGCTTAGATGGTCGCACAGACAGAGACAGTTTCAAGAAGATCATGCCTGTGGTGACATACGAGGATTTAAAGCCAGATATTGATCGTATTGCTGATGGTGATACCTCCCCAATTTTATGTTCCAAACCTATTTCTGAGTTCCTCACGAGGTCAGTGTATAATTATGTTTTGATATAATTGTTCTTCTTACAATTGAAATCTCACACTCCAACTGGCTGGTAGTAAAAAATCTGTTATTTTTTCTGAAAAATATTTTGATGCTATATTAGTAATATATATTTAAGTTTTCTTTCATTTTCATTTCACTTTCATCATTTTTTTTTTCATTATTTGCATCTTTATTTCTCATCATACAATATTTCATATATCTCAGTTTTTTTTTTCTCTTCCATACATCTAAAATAGGGTGGTACATGTACTCTACTTACTGTAGAGACTAGGGCTGATAAATTGACGGGAAAAAAAGGAGGGGTATTAATAATGATGTAAAATAAGTGAGAGAAATATAAAATAAGTCTATATATGAAATTAATTTTTTTTTAAAAAGTGGTGTGAGTTATAGTGTAGGAAAAAAACATGACATTCCATTTTTGAAAAAAAAAATAAATTACTTCATTCTTTTTTTCCTTCAGATATATTGTATATCATGTGATAAAACGTAGTAGTGTGAGACAATAAAAGAGCAAAAGAAGCTTTTTTAAGGAGTGTAAAATGAACGTGCAAAAAGGTGATGTGAAATCAGTTATCTTTGGAACATGCATGTATATTGAGAAATTAAGGATATAACTAAGGAATGAGGTAGGGTTGGGCTTACTTACTTTTTTTTTTTTTTTTTTTTTTTTTTTAAGATTTCTTTATTTCTTTCACGGTTAATAACCAACAAAATATGATGCACACTATTACATTATTTAAGCTATTGTATTGATCATAAAATTGTTCTGTTTATACAATCGGTTGTAAGCTATTTTTATTTTTCTCTTTATTTCTTGTGACATTATTTATTTTATCTATCCGTTATTTTTTTTTTCTCTTTATATACTCCAAATGTAATAGAGTAACATCTTCCGATATTTTTCCATATTATTTAACCACATGTTATCTCCAATTAATACATCTCTCAACAAAAAAAAAAGTGTGAAATAAGATAAGAAGAATACATGAAAAAAACATTGTAAAAAGAGTGAGTGGAATAACGTTATTCTCTTCATTTAATTTAGCTCTGGAACTTCTGGTGGGGAGAGAAAACTGATGCCAACCATAGAGGATGAACTTGAGAGAAGATCATTACTCTACAGCCTCTTGATGCCAGTGATGGACCAATCTGTTCCAGGTTTAGACAAAGGCAAGGGTATGTACTTTTTGTTCATAAAATCAGAAGCCAAAACCCCAGGGGGGCTCCTAGCACGTCCAGTGTTGACCAGTTACTACAAGAGCTCACACTTCAAGAACACCACACAAAGATATGATCCCTACACAAATTACACTAGCCCCATTGAGTCCATTCTCTGCCCAGACTCTTACCAAAGCATGTACTCTCAGATGCTTTGTGGACTTTCTCAAAACGAACAAGTTCTTCGTGTTGGGGCTGTTTTCGCCTCAGGTTTCATCCGTGCCATTAAGTTCCTAGAAAAGCATTGGGTGAGTTTGTGCCATGACATAAGAAATGGCACCATAGACCCTGAAATCAGGGACTCATCTGTTAGAGAGGCCATCATGAAGATACTCAAACCAAACCCCAAGCTTGCGGATTTCATAGAAGGTGAGTGCAAGAAGGAGTCGTGGAAGGGTATCATTACTAGGGTGTGGCCGAACACAAAGTATGTTGATGTTATTGTTACTGGAACCATGTCTCAGTATATTCCGATATTGGATTACTATAGCAATGGTCTCCCTCTTGTCTGCACCATGTATGCTTCGTCTGAGTGTTACTTTGGCCTCAACTTGAACCCTTTGTGTGAACCGAGTGAGGTGTCTTACACTCTCATTCCCACCATGGCCTACTTCGAGTTCTTGCCCATCCATAAGACGAAGGGACATGACGATTCTCACTCTGAGCTGGAACGTTTGGTTGATCTTGTGAATGTGGAGTTGGGTCAAGAATATGAGCTTGTGATCACCACTTATGCTGGTAAAAGTTCCAATTATCTTTATGAAAATAATAAAATATGTTTTAAGTCTTTTTCTTTTTATCAAATGTAATATTAGTTCTTCTAGATAGAATATTTCACAACATTTTTTTTTTTTTCCAATTTGGTGAAATTGGTTAGATAATTTTGTTAGCCTTATTTGCTATAATGTGAATATGTGGCATTTAGTAAAGTCACCTCGACACGTTAGATATCAGTGATGCGAGAATATTATATGAGATTAGTGACATAACAAAACTTTTAGAATAAGAAGCCATTTTACTCTTAAAAATGTTGGCTGACTCTTTTCAAGAAAAACCATTACTACAAAATAGCATTGTTCTTTTTGTTAGTTTCTAATAGCTATGTTATGATGCACATCCACATACAGGACTCTACAGGTATCGAGTTGGTGACATACTCCGTGTAGCAGGATTCAAGAACAAGGCACCTCAATTCAACTTCGTGTGCCGAAAGAATGTGGTTTTAAGCATTGATTCTGATAAGACCGATGAAGTTGAGCTACAAAATGCTGTGAAGAATGGATCAAACCATCTTGCACAGTTTGGTGCATCACTCACAGAATATACAAGTTGCACTGACACGTCCACCATCCCCGGTCACTATGTGCTATACTGGGAGATTAGCAGCAGGAATGAAACCCCAATTCCTGTTTCTGTTTTTGAAGAGTGTTGCTTTGCAGTTGAAGGGTCTCTGAACAGTGTGTATAGACAAGGAAGGGTATCAGAATCCATTGGACCATTGGAAATCAAGATTGTGGAGAATGGAACCTTTGACAAGCTTATGGACTTTGCTCTCAGTCAGGGTGCGTCCATAAATCAGTATAAGACACCTCGTTGTGTGAAGTATGCTCCCATTGTTGAGCTTCTGGACTCCAAGACAGTTTCCAATCACTTCAGTACAAAATGTCCACAGTGCGTCCCTGGTGTCAAGAAGTGGTGCATGTACCCTTGATGCCAAATAATAGGTCCAGAAGAAATTCCTTTTATCTTTGATTTGTTGTCTTAGCTTGTAGAAAAGCCATCGTGGTAATGTAAGCTCTTCTATGTACGCACTCTCCTAACTACTATATATATAGCAAATTATTTATGGTGTCTTAACAGTGAAAGTTGATTGAATACTTCCAAGACATTTCCAATATATCAAAAGTCTAAAAAAATTACTATTATGTATTATCAAATAATTAATATTATTACTAGTAATAAAGTCCTACATAATTGATAGATAATTTCTTCTTAATTCAAATAAATGGTTTGATTCTCTAATATAAATAAGACTTTATTAAGGGAGAGAAATTTTATTTTCAAAATCATTTATTTAACTTCTCACAATTATTAATATCACCCTTTCTATATGACATGACCTGAACCATCCACTTCATACGTTTGGTTCTGTAACAAATAAAGTATCAAAATTTTCATCATCAAGCTATCTTATATAACTTCGGTCTTTTCCCATTTTCTATGGGTGTCGTTAAACAAAGACACCAAACAAGTCACTTTAGATACAGTGTTCAGAAACAAAATTATATAAGAAATAATTAGAAAAATTGTAACTGAAATATATACTTCCAAATATAGGGGAATGGACTCAAGCCATATTAAAAAGTAGATATTGATGGATGAACTAGGACTATATAATTTGGTTTTGCAATGTAGGGTCAATTTTTTTTGTTTCTGTACCTTTTTCCACCCACCATCCTCCCATTATCAGGCAATATGCATGTACCAAATTTTATATGCATGCGTCTCAATCTCAAAGAGTACTTTCTTGAAAAAAAACTTGTCATCCATCTTAAATCTGATACATACTCTTAAAAACAACAAAAATTAAATGTCAATTTCATTCATTAATATTAGCAAATGAGTGTACCAAAAACATATTGTGTACTTTGATTTAATATTGTTTCAAACTCTAATTTTAACCTGTAAAACATTCATTAGGATTGTAGAAACTGAGGCAAATATATATATATATATATATATATATATATATATATATATATATATATATATATATATATATATATATAATCTTAACTCTCCTAAAATTTTGTCTTCTTCCACAGTTTCAGTTGGACAGCATATCTAAATAGATAGATAAGAAATTTAGAGACGATCATAGATAAGAAATGAAATACATCAAGATTTGATTCACTCAATATAAGTACAGTACAAAATTATTAAACAAAATAAATTATTATATGTATGAACTTAACATCGACCATTTCAATATAATTGTTGAAGGCACTATATAATTAGACAATACATGGTCATAAATTATTAATATGCATCAAAACTAACTTATAAAAAAGTAAATATATGCTAAATATAACAAAATTATTAAATTACACAAGACTACCTACATTTACAATTTTTATAAGTATTACACATTTTATATAAAAAAACCTAGTACATTATTTCCTTATTTGTAAAATATCATATTGATAAATCTTGAAATACTTAAAACAATAGTTTTTAAATGTCGTTAGATAAAAATAAATAAATTTAATTATTATTAAAATGAATTACCTCGTCCAAAAATTACTAATACTTACACGAAACAAGTAGTCACATTCACATAAATATATTTGTTTATTACACTAAAATAAACAAAAAAGAAAACATAATGTTATTTTCAAAGTTTATATAATAATATGATCTTAATAATTTTCTAACCTTAGAATTAGAATAAATGAGGTGCAAATTTGGTGATATGCTTTTTCATTTAAGATGTTATTTCCTTATACGATTCTAATTGAAATAAAGATAAATATTAATTAACATATATTTAGATTTTTAAGACTTAATAAACAAAATAAAGTTATCTTTGTAATACGTTTTTCATTTCTTGGTTAAATTTTTGATACAACAAACAAAATCACACCAATATAGTCTATTGGGATGATTGCAATAAATTGCGAAAGAGACCTATATTATAAGAAAAACAAATTAGTTATAAGCAAATTAATATAATTAAAACAATAAATTAAAAGACTAACCCCTTGAGTGTTGTTAGAATTTAATTCCAGCTTTAGGTTTAACTGTCAGATTTTAGTTTGTAACCAACTATTAATGGTGTATTCTCCTATATAAGAGTACCCATAACTCAAAAATAAAATATAACGATACTTTTCAGTTTATCACATATATTCACAAATTAAACACATTATCCTGCAAATTATTGTGTGTCTATACACGTGTGAAGTATATAGAGAAAAGGAAGTGAGAGGAGGAGCTTATCTGGTGGAGCTGCGACGGTGGACAGTGGAACCCTAGAGTGAGTTGGAGTGTTCGTGGTCACTGTGTTCTTTCGAGAACTTTCTCGTGTTGTTTTGGTGCGTGCGAAGACGTGGGTATTATTACTTTTTAGCAGAAGAGAGAAGTGGGTCTGAGTATTGGGCCAGTTTCAACAGTGGTATCAGAGTAGGTTACGAACCAGGGACATTTGCAGTATGGCAGGAAATGGCAGTGAAAATTTCTTTTCTAATTTGCCATCTCTTGATGGAAAGAATTATGATCATTGAGTCATAAGGATGGAGGCTATTCTTGGTTATCAAGTACTATGAGAAGTAGTAACAGAAGGTGCAAAGGAGAAGGACGAAGCCGCAAACAAGAAGAGAGATTGCAAGGCACGGTGTCTCTTGCATCAGTGTGTGGATTCTGTGAATTTTGAGAAGATAGCCAAGGCCAAGACAGCAAAAGAATGCTGGGAAATACTGCAGAGGGCTCATGGTGGTGCAACAAAAGTCAAGAAGGTCAGGTTGCAGTCTTTAAGAAGACAATATGAGTTACTTTCAATGCAGGAAACCGAAAGTGTAGCAGAATATTTCAATAGGCTGCAGTTGCTCGTCAATCAGATTAAAAGTTGTAGAGAAACCGTGACTGAATTGAGTACAATAGAAAAGGTTCTGCGTACACTGACAGAAAAATTTGATAATGTAGTAGTGACAATAGAAGAGTCTGACAGGAATATGAAGGCCCTGTCACTGGAGGAATTACAGAGTACGTTAGAAGCACACGAGTTGAAGCGCACAACGCGAAAATCTGAGAAGGCAGAGGATGAGCAGGCCTTGAAAGCCCATATCAGCAAGAAAAGTTGTGGTTCTGACAGAGGAAACTGGAAGAAGAATAAAGGAGGGGGCAGATTTAACAAAGAAAGAAATTCTTTGTCTCAAGATTCTGGTTCTGGAGAGAAAACAGATCAGAAGGCTCAAGGAGGACGTGGGTCTTGGAGAAAGAAGAGTGTTGATATGCGGAAAATTCAGTGCTACAATTGTGAGAAATGAGGTCATTATGCAGCAGACTGCTGGCACAAAAAAGGAAGACAGAAAAGGGGCCCAGTTGATGCAGAGGCAAAAGTAGCACAAGATGATTCAGAGGAGGAGCCTGTGGTGCTTATGGTAACGACCAGTGAAGAAGAATTTGGTGTTGAAACTTGGTTTCTTGACACTGGATGTTCCAACCATATGACTGGGCACAAAGAATGGATGTCTAGCATAGATACCAGCAGATCCATCAAGATAAAGCTGGTAGATGACAATGTCATAAAGGCTGAAGGAGTTGGGAATGTGGTAATTAAGAAAGATGGTGTAGACCCCAAATCTTGCCCGGCCTAACAATAAAGACCAGAAGACCTCCTTTTCGAAGATGAACGAAGCCTAAGAAGCCATTAGGAGAGACTATTAGGCTCCATACTAGGATAGGAGAGATTTTTGGCTCAAAAATAAGGATTTTCGCCTCTTAAGGTCGAGATCGCCGTCTCGGATTCGAGACCGCCATCTCGACATTCCTGCAAGGCGAGACCGCCGTCTCGACCTTGTCAGACGAGACAACACGTCTCGACCTGACAGATGCGAATCCCTATAAATAGGGCCCCTATTCCCCTCATTTCCAACAAGTTCTTCCTCCTTCTCTCTAGAAATCACTTAAAATTCTCTCTCTAGAACCCCTCCGAAGCATTTCCGGAGTTTCTGAGCGTTTCTAAGAGTGTTTTTGAGCGTTTCGAGAGATTTTCGACGCTGTAGAGTGAAGGGCTACCGCAAAGCACCCTAGTTTTTTAGAAGGAATTAATAAGAAAAGCTTGCTTCAGAGGTTTATACTCTCTCTCTCTACTTTTACTGCTTTAATTTTAATTATGCAATAGAGATTAGGGTCATGTAGTCGTAACTTTAAATTCCGCAAAATAAGAGGGTAAAAGCGTATTTTCCGGTTTATTTATCCAAAGTAGCTAGCCTATCATAGGGAACCCGAAAGGGGCGTCGTAAAGGAACTAACACTTCCTTTACGCGTAACTAACTCCCTTACCCAACTCTGGTTCTAATGACCAAAGTTGGTTTTTCGAAAACCAACGCCTTTTAAACTCCTTTTCCGATGTTTCCGGTAAAAACATCGGTGTCGACTCCACAGAACCCTTCAAAACTAGCTCTTGGATTAGTCCGATTATCGGACAATCTAAGAGCGCCCTTTCGAAAACCTCGCCCCTAGGTTCAGCCCGGTTATCGGACAACCTAAAGGTGTTGTAACCACCAATAAAAACGTGAAAACGGAAAGTCGAAAACCATCGCGTCGCTCCGACCGCCCTCATTTTTTACGGCGGCGACAGATGGCGACTCCACTGGGGAAGCCTCGAGAGTTGATCCCATTTAGTGATGGGCCAGCTTAAAAATAAATAAACCAAGAAAATAACGCTTTTACCCTACCTTGTATTATAACATGTTTTATTGCTTGGCTTTAATAACTGTTGTTTGTTTATATTTATGCAATTGTTTGAAATACAAACTGTACACAAACCCTTGCACACAACAGTTCCCCCTATACCCCGGGGCAAGTGAGAAATCCATAGGGAGTGGGTGGCAGGTACGGTTCATTGTAGTGATGGCCTTGTGCCCACCAGTGTGATCGGAAACCACCACTCAAGGTGATAACCTTCCTCTTTTGGCACAAAGACTGACT